TTATAACGAGAACGTAGTCGTTGCTTTTCCGGCCGAAATGCCAAACGGCGAGCGACACCACCTTCTTCTACATATAGGGGGAGGGGAGAGGAAGGGGGGGGGGGGGGCGCTCTTCGCGATGCGGTCGTTTTTTTGTTTTTTATTATTTCCCCTCGAGGTTTGAGCCCTGCATGACCAGGCGGCCCTTTCGGCGCCCCCCTGTGAATAACGCCCTGTGCGGCTGCACAGGTCGCCCACCCCAAAGGCCGGCCCTGGGTATTTTACACTGCAAAACAGCTAACAAAAGCACGTTTCCGAAGACGCAACAGCTGGCGCATTTTCGAGTATCGTCCTTCCGTGTCGGTCTCGGGCGGTTATGTGAACTTCATAAAGTCAGATTTATCGATGATAATAAAAATATACTTAATTCCTGTCTGAAGATTTGGCATCATAAATAGAAGATCCTCATCTCAAAAATATATAAGTAAATGCACCTTCAAATTATCTGAAAGATGTTCTGCAAATATTTTTCGGCGCTTTTATCCTCTATAGACACGTTATAGGTGATTTGGGAAAGCTTTAAATATTTTTTTTTATTTTGAAGCTAATTTAAATAACTATATGTTCCTCACGCATATATAACTTCTAAAATATATAGAAGTTTATTATCGCGTTTTTTATGTGGTGAACATAACTTTTACGTGTCTGTGGGTCGGGCCAAAACGAAATACACTGGGACGAATTGTGGAACTATGGCGATTACACACGCAAACTGTGAGAAAGTGTCCAATTAAGTAGCTCCCCAATCGAGTAGAGCATGAAATACCACTTTGTTCTATTTAACAAAAAACATCAATTAGCGAGGGTGATGCTTATTTGCAAATTAAATTCATCGGCACCTTGTCAAGAACAAACCTCAACATCCAGGCTATGCCAGTTTATCCAATATAAGAAAATCTTCACATAAGTAAGCACTGTTTTAGGCCAGATTATATCTCAGTACTAAGGTGCTCATAGGTTAGAGTGAACAATTTCAGTCACTCCTTTTTGCATGATTCGTCGCCCGCATCACGGTGCTGACAGCAAACAATGCTGGTTAAAAAACAAGCAATGCGATTATCGCTCAGTGTTTCTATAAAATATAGACTGGAAGGGCTTGTCCTGTGATTTTCGTGACATTTTGAAAATTATATTGCTTTAAGCTCAGTCGTCTCGTCACCATATATATACTGTGAAACGTAATCCGTAAAACACATTTCATGATATATATGGCGACGAGGTGCCCATTTCATGATTTTATTCACTATAATTAATTCCTAAGTTCAAGGGCAAAACCACGATTCAACCTCTAATACTGCGATGCAAAGTTGTACCAATCACGGGTATTTAGGCAACCTACTTCACTTCGCGAAAACATTGCGATTCAGGTACAATGTATGTGACTCTGGAAAACGAGGGGATGTTGAGTCGTATAAACACGACGTTTTGTATGTTAATGTAGATTTTTTTTGTTGTTGTGTAGAAATAAATAACAATTTTAAAATTTTGGTACCTGAAAATAAAACTGGATTGAACAAACGATAGAAAAAAGCGATATACTGTAAACGACTTATTTTTCGTGGGCTCAATATTTCGCGATTTACGTCAAAGCTGAAGTTTTGGAATGATTCGGGGGTTGTAATTTTCTCGACGCGGTGGAATCTCAATATAAATTCCGATGTGTTTACATTTTACCGAAATTGCTCGCGGGCCCCATTTTTCGTGAATTGTAGGCGATTCGCGAAATTCTCAAAAATTAGGTCCTCGCAAAAATCAGGTCTGAATAGTGCCAATTGACAGAACAACGCGAAAAATATATTCCTAATTTAGCGGTTCAAACCGGTTTGAACCGGTTCAAACCGGTTTGAACCGTTATTTTTTGCGCCCCGGAACTGAACCGGAACTGAACCGAAATCCATGAACCCGAACCCGAACCGAACCGATAAAAATATCGGTTCGACACTCTGGTTGCAGCGCTCTCGAGTCGTGCGCTTTAACGTCGCGGCGCTTTCGTGTTGCGCGGGCTAACGTCGTGGCGCGCTACTATCGGCGCTCTACTGTCGGCGCTCTTGTGTCATGCGCTCTAGTGCTGTAGAGCCCTTTTTCAAAGATTTCTGGCTCGATGGCACACCCAGAGGTATCGTCAGTCAAGCTTGATGGGTTAAAATATCTCCGCCGTTCGTCGCGGATGATGGCGCGGATCTGTTGCAGGAGGTTCATGTTGGAAACGGGGCTAAGGGAAACTTCAGGAAGCCGTTTAAAACGCCCCTTGTTGATCTAGGTGCTCTGCATCTCTTCATACGTTTTACATTCTGATGAGTCGCTGTACGGTCGCGGGTATTTTCGGGGCTACAACAAAGAGAAGTTTCTGGGACAAACCTTTAAATAGGTGTCGCATCTTATCCTCCTCGGACATTTGCTCACCAACTCGTCGGCAGAGAAGAAGGACGTCTTCGATGTGACTCGTGGAAGTCTCCGTTGCAGCTTGGATGCGGTGTGTCAGCTTTTATTTTGCCTGCTGTTTGCAGCTCTCCGGCTTGCGGAACGCTTCTGGAAATAATGTCTTGAAGCCATCCCACGAGTTGATGTCCTCTTCGTGGTTGTCAAACCACTGAAAGGCCGCGTCATTTAGAGAGAACACCACATGAGAGTCGTCCCAATGGTTATGGACGCTTGCGCGGACGTAGTGTTTCAACCAGTCGTCGACGCCCCCTTGTTGGCAGCCGCTGAAGGTTGGAGGGTCCCGCTGGCGGTTCTTCACGTAGTTGCGAGGCAGCCGTGAGGGTTCACTTGATGTAGTTTGTCGCTGGTCTGGCATGGCGATGGTATGGTGAGTCCGCTTTAAAGCTCCAGAGCATGTTTTGGGGTAGCAGACACGAAAAAGGTAGGGGAACCTGAGCGCCTTCACCACTTGTAAGGGTATTTAATGAGGTTTTTAAGGTGGTAATGGGTGACCAAAACAGAACAGTTCCGACGGTTGAGTCCAGTACAATAAGCTGCTCCGTCGGCCCCGGCACGTGACTTGCTCTAGTGCGCCAACACTTCCCCTTTATCTTCCTGACAATATATATAAATATATATACGCTTACTTAACAGCGGTCACATTTAACGGTATTATGAAATAAAAGAGCGAGTATCAAAATGTAGGATTTTTAGGAAAAGTCGATTTCAACCAGAGTGAACATGTTACGTGACTACGTACGTCGTGATCTCTACCATTCCGGCAACTCAAATGTCTTCCCCAGCTGAAGGAGACGACGCTAGCTACAATTAAAAAGCAGACGAACTTTTCGCTGTAATTTAGTTATAAGGAAGTCGTAGATAGGTTCGGACCAACTTGGTGGAGTGGTTTACATAGACAACCGGGGTTTCGGTCCGCATACCGAAGTGACCGTCGCCCAATACGACAAGCACACGTAGTGCACAATAAAGTCATCATGCCCGTTCCTCGCGATTTACCAGGTCGATATATTTGTGGCAACATTTTACCAGCCCAAGAAGAGTCAGATATGCTACATTTTTCCTTAGGCTGTACTTAAAAGCGCGGAAAACTTTCAATATTGGTTTTGGAACCGCCTTTGATTGCCGTATATTTAACAGCTAGTGTAAATTTTGAGATAATACATAGCATACCAGAAAGAGTAAAATCCGGAAATTTTGAAAATGTAGTTTGTTGGAATAGCCACAAAACAGGACGGGAACTATATTTAGAATCGAAACCGCTTCGAATATATGCCATGGCAGTCGAGAAACACAGACAAAAAACAAATTTGAAAACACTCTTCGGTGTATGACATTTAATCGCCGTCATTCTATTGTATGTCTCCATGTCTTTCTCTGTTATTTCTTTATAAAAAAATCACTGACAGATTTTACCCTTGACATATCGTCCTAGTTGCGATAGTGTAAATTCGGAACCAACATCGACTGAAAGCACTGCAGAAGTTTTATTCACTAACGTTAACTTCGTCGAAGTTTAGTAACCTTATAGATACGCATAGAAGGGCGCTATATTTTAAATTTAAGCGCTTATATATACATTTGTTTTAAGCAAATAATACCTAAGTGGCAGGTTCAGAAATTTGGTTTACGTAATTACACGATTGATTCATTTGATTAGAGAACACATTCAAAGAAAAACCAAATTGACAAAATAAGCAGCTCTACGAACCTCACACACATGCCAATGTGCTGAGCAGTTATTTAAATTCACATCAAACTAAATATCCTTTACACTTTTTATTTTCGCCTTTAAAGTTTTGGTGAAGTCGAGATTGTCCTATTTCACGAATACGACACTCCATTAAAACATCTGTTTTTTTTCAGCTATACGACTATTCAGTATATTGTCGCGCGCGCAATATATCATTGCAGCGTATTAAGGTAATGTTATACTCTATAATCTACTTTTCAATAATGCTGCTCAATGAGTTATGCATTGAAACGAAGCGAAATATACTAAAAAAAATCGGCGTGCAAAAATTCGATTTGCTAATATTACTATTGTCAAAATATATAGTCACCTTCCTATATTCAAAAAAAATATCCCGCTATATTTTCATTTCAATGTTTTTTTTTTTGTGTTTCTTTTTTTTGTTTTACCCAGATAATACCTGGCTGGCATGTTCACCAGTACTGCTTACGCAATTATGTGATACATTTGTTACCCACACCTCATTCGAGATGCATCACCGGCTTCGCGTATCTAACGTGGTTTACACACTCAATTTAGTGGTATCTATATTTCTAGTACAAACCTGTTTTCGGAGAAGCATAATGTTTACCCCCGACCTTTAAATGCTACACAAACATCCTGCTGTGCTCTCATGTTGCTTTCGTTTCACCATTACATCCACAGCTGCGTGGCAGAAGATCAAAGACGGTTCTATGTACAGCGCTCATGTGTCACGGCTTTATGAAATAAAAGAGCGAGTATCAAACTGTAAGATTTCAAGAAGATCAAGATTCTAACATCAGTGAACATGCAGCGTGACTTTGCATATGTCGTGGTTTGTACCATTCTGGCATCTCAAATCTCTTCCCGGGCTGAAGAAAACTACGCTGACGACAAGGGGAATGCAGACAAACTTTTTCAGGTAATGTGTTTATAAAAAAGACGTATATAGGTTAGTAACAACGAGTTAGAGGGTCTTAGAGCGATAAACCGGGGTTCCTGCCCGCACACTTTTGTGTTCGGACCGTAACTCTCCCCCAGGCCGTCACCATAGTACGCCAATGTGGCGCTACCAAATACGAGACGTCAGAGGCAAGAGGGCAGCTCCCAGGCAATGCTTGCCCCAGCTGGGCTGGAGCTTATCGGATACGTCGTTCGCTGTTGTTGGTCCAAGCGAGTTGATTTTAGATGAGGGAGCCGTGATCTGAAGCCGGTCGAAAACAACTTCAGAGTTCGGCGTGGTTTCTCGCATAAGTTTTAACTGAAGACACGGCAGAACGGTGTGCATTTCGCTGGTTATTGGCGAAAATATTTAATAAAAATAGACATAATCGGTCCTGCATTGCTCGGTCATCAGATTGATTCGGATATCGCTAGAATAAATTTTCACGAGACGTTTTTGCGCTCTCCATGACTATCGGAATCTCCGAAGTCGTCAGTGAGGCGTTTGCGATGTATTTGGATACACAGTTGAGCTCCGCAAATTTCAGTCGTGCTTGGCAGTGTGCAGTCGTGGTGTCGTTCGTCCAAATAACCGGTAGCTTGCCTCGGTGTGCAGCGTAGCGAAGAACTGCTTTGAAGCTAGTAGTTTCTGTGGCGTGCCTGATGATTTTGTGCTGTTTTGTAAATTGCTCTGGCGTAGACTTGAGCTTTCACGAAATAGAGTCGTGGCAGTTCAATGCCAGAAAAGTGGTCACACACCTGTTTTTGTTCGGTTCGTCCACGGCAGTCGTCAAGACACCGAAGGACGGGGTGTTTTTGACAAGCTTGCCACTCAAGCAATGCATCTTCTTTACTGTTCAGGGTAAACGCTGTCTTGTAAGTTTCGTTATATCGTCACGGATGCCTTGTCCAGTCCCTACTTTTATCAGTCTTTACTATTCTGGACAGTATTCTGCTCTCATCGTGTGTTCCAGTGGAGGTGCTGGGTACTTTACTTTATGCCTTTTCCTCGTTCACCCCAAGAAGCCGTGAACTAAGTTTCGGCAGAAAAAACCGCACGACGAGCGAGTCCCACAAGAAAGGCGAGTCCCACAAGTAGACCGCGAAGAACCTAAACCCCGAGCCAGTCATAACAACCAGGGGGAACAAGCGGAATTTGGTTTCCGGTCGGAAAAAAAAAGTGAAAGCCGTTTACAACTTCCTGTAACACCGGATTAGAGCGCAGCTCTTGAGGAGGAGGAGGGAAGGGTACTGGGGGGATTGAAGTGACCTGGGGGGTCACGTGACCTTGGGGGGTCACGTGACGATGCCGATGATGTCATCAGTGACGTCACTGATGACGTCATCCGCGATGATGACGATGGCGATGCGGATGCCGGTGACGTCATCAGTGACGCCACTGATGACGTCATCAGTGATGATGACGATGACGATGCGGATGCCGGTGAGGTCATCAGTGACGTCACTGATGACGTCATAAGTGACGATGACGATGTGGACTCCGATGACGTCATCAGCGATGATGACGATGACGATGCGGATGTCGGTGACGTCACCAGTGACGCAACTGATGGCGTCATAAGTGACGATGACGATGTGGACTCCAATGACGTCATCAGCGATGATGATGATGACGATGCGGATGTCGGTGACGTCACCAGTGGCGTCACTGATGACGTAATCCGTGATGATGACGACGATGCGGATGCCGGTAACGTCATCAGTGACGTAACTGATGACGTCATCAGTGATGATGACGATGACGATGCGGATGCCGGTGAGGTCATCAGTAACGATGACGTCATCGAGAAGGTCACGTGACCTCGGCGGGGTGGTCACGTGACCTCGGGGGGTCACGTGACCTTCCGGGTCACGTGACCCTGGGGGAGGGGTCACGTGACCTTGGCGTGACCTTGGGGGCCACGTGACCTTGGGATGACCTTGGTGTCGCGTGACCTTGGGATGACCTTGGTTACGCCGACGCCGACGCCGCTCAAGCCGGGAACAGGCCCCTAAGAGCTGCGCTCTAAAGATGGTTTGATGCACCATGACTCACGGGACATCACAAAGTCAGGTGACTTCCTTTTACGTTGCAACGCAAAGTGACAGCGTGGCGCCGCGTGACTAATCATGGCCTGAGACGCATCAAGTAGTCAAGCGTGCCCTAAGGGTGTCCTATGCAAGTTACCAGCCTTCCCATAGATGGAAAGTAAAAATGAAAGCCGCTTACAACTCCCTGTAACACCGAATTAGAGCGCAGCTCTTGAGGAGGAGGAGGGAAGGGCACTGGGGGGGGGGGGTTAAACTAACCAGTGGGGGGTCACGTGACCTTGGGGGTCACGTGACCCCCAGTGCCGATGATGTCATCACTGACGTCACTGATGACGTCATTAGTGACGTCACTGATGACTTCACCAGTGATGATGACGATGCGAATGTCGGTGACGTCATCAGTGACGTCGCTGATGACGTCATCAGTGATGATGACGTCATCAGCGAGTGATGAGTGATGATGACGATGCGGATGCCGGTGACGACATCAGTGACGTCACTGATGATGTCATCAGTGATGATGACGATGACGATGCGGATGTCGGTGACGTCATCAGTGATGATGACGATGACGATGCGGATACCGGTGACGTCATCAGTGATGATGACGATGACGATGTGGATGCCGGTGACGTCATCAGTGATGATGACGATGTGGATGCCGGTGACGTCATCAGTGATGATGACGATGACGATGTGGATGCCGGTGACGTCATCAGTGATGATGACGATGACGATGTGGATGCCGGTGACGTCATCAGTGAGGATGACGTCATCGGGGGGTCACGCGACATCGGCGGGGGTCACGTGACCTCGGGGGGTCACGTGACCTCGAGGAGGGGGTCACGTGACCTCAGGGGAGTCACGTGACTTCGGGGGGTCACGTGACCTCGGGGGGTCACGTGCCCCCCACGAGGTCACGTGACCCCGGTGGGGGGCTCGCGCGGTGCATTATGGGACATTTCCCATGATGCACCGGGGTCACGTGCCCCCCACGAGGTCACGTGACCCCGGTGGGGGGCTCGCGCGGTGCATTATGGGACATTTCCCATGATGCACCGCGCGGTTACGCCGACGCCGACGGCGACGGCGACGCCGACGGCGACGGCGACGGCGACGCCGACGGCGACGCCGCTCAAGCCGGAAACGGGCCCCTAAGAGCTGGGCTCTAAAAAAGTGAAAGCCGTTTACAACTCCCTGTAACACCGAATTAGAGCGCAGCTCTTGAGAAGGAGGAGGGAAGGGTACTGCGGGGGTGAAGTGACCTGGGGGGTCACGTGACGATGCCGATGATGTCATCAGTGACGTCACTGATGACGTCATCAGTGACGATGACGATGCGGACTCCGATGACGTCACCAGCGATGATGACGATGACGATGCGGATGTCGGTGACGTCATCAGTGACGTCACTGATGACGTCATCTGTGATGATGACGATGACGATGCGGATGCCCCCCCCGAAGTCACGTGACACCCCCAGGTCACGTGACCACCCCCAGGGTTACGTGACCCCCGCCGAGGTCACGTAACCTCCCCGATGACGTCATCGTCACTGATGACGTCACCGGCATCCGCATCGTCATCGTCATCATCACTGATGACGTCAGCAGTGACGTCACTGATGACCTCACCGGCATCCGCATCGTCATCATCATCACTGATGACGTCATCAGTGACGTCACTGATGACGTCACCAGTGATGATGACGATGACGATGCGGATGCCGGTGATGTCATCAGTGACGATGACGTCATCTGGGAGGTCACGTGACCTCGGCGGGGGTCACGTGACCCTGGGGGTGGTCACGTGACCTGGGGGTGTCACGTGACTTCGGGGGGTCACGTGACCAGGGGGTCACATGACTGAGTGTCACGTGACCTTTGGGGGTCACGTGACCTTGGGGTGACCTTGGGGGTCACGTCACCGTGGGATGACTTTGGGGGGCCACGTGACCTTGGGATGACCTTGGCTACGCCGACGCCGACGCCGCTCAAGCCGGGAACGGGCCCCTAAGAGCTGCGCTCACGTCACTGATGACGTCACCAGTGATGATGACGATAACGATGCGGATGCCGGTGATGTCATCAGTGACGATGACGTCATCTGGGAGGTCACGTGACCTCGGCGGGGGCCACGTGACCCTGGGGGTGGTCACGTGACCTGGGGGTGTCACGTGACTTCGAAGGGGGGGTGGGGGTCGCGTGACCTCGGGGGTCACGTGACCAGGGGGTCACGTGACCCTGGGGGAGGGGGTCACGTGACCTCTGGGGGTCACGTGACCTTGGGGTGACCTTGGGGGTCACGTGACCTTGGGGTGACCTTGGGGGTCACGTGACCGTGGGATGACCTCGGGGGCCACGTGACCTTGGGATGACCTTGGCTACGCCGACGCCGCTCAAGCCGGGAACGGGCCCCTAAGAGCTGCGCTCTAAAAAGTGAAAGCTGCTTACAACTCCCTGTAACGCCGAATTAGAGCGCAGCTCTTGAGGAGGAGGAGGGAAGGGCACTGGGGGGGGTTAAACTAACCAGGGGGGGGTCACGTGACCTTGGGGGTCACGTGACCCCCAATGCCGATGATGTCATCACTGAGGTCACTGATGACGTCATCATTGACGATGACGATGCGGGTACCGATGACGTCATTAGTGACGTCACTGATGACTTCACCAGTGATGATGACGATGACGATGCGAATGTCGGTGACGTCACCAGTGACGTCGCTGATGACGTCATCAGTGATGATGACGATGACGATGCGGATGTCGGTAACGCCATCAGTGATGATGACGATGACGATGCGGATGCCGGTGACGTCATCAGTGATGATGACAATGACGATGCGGATGCCGGTGACGCCATCAGTGACGATGACGATGACGATGTGGATGCCGGTGACGACATCAGTGACGTCACTGATGACGATGA